GTGCCAGCCTGGTGATGCAGCAGGGAGCCCGCCTAGATTGCAGCTCCGATTACGCTGTTGCCTTCCTCTGCCCTCCCCGGGTGCACCTTCAATCGCACCTGTATCATCCACAGTAAAGGGCTCGCTTGCCCAGACCGTGGGCTACCTGGGTCACCACTGCAACTGGCACCTCTTCGTCTCACCTCTGTCACGTGCCAGGGGTATTAGAAAGGGCCCCAGTGTGAGGACGGACCCAGCGCCTGTCAATGGCAGTGCAAAGAGGCTTTTTCTGATTCAACTGGGCATCCCCATGTCCTACCTGGACGCAGCCCATGGGTTTCCATGAGGTCCTCGGTCATCAGAGTATCCTCAGCCAGGTCCCTTCTCCCGCTGGCTGGTTAAGGAAGCCCCACTTCTGCTCTCTTCTCCCCACCCTGTCACTTCAGCCATAGCCTGTGCTCGGCCCATAAAACTCAGCCCTTTCTCTGCGTCCCAGCATCCAGGCTGTCCAAATCTTACCGACCCTCCATGCTGCACCTCTAAGAGCCTGTCTGTGCTACCCTGCCCATGCCCTGAAAGCACGCCATGCCTGATCCATGCCATGGTGAGATGCTGATGCTGCTTCTCTGTCCTGGGCATGGTCTGTGCCTCTCTCAGCCATTGTCTGATGTTCTCTGGCCTCTGGCCCACAGGAGAAAGAGTGGGTGGGGTATGTTTCCCAGCTCTGCTCCTTGGCCTGGTGCAAGGTCACATGGACGTGCCCAGATCTCTGACTTTCCCTCTCCACCCCTGCAGCCCAAAGGATCGTGCCAGCCTTCATCACTTCGCACGTCAGCACCTGCCCCCTCATGCCCTCCAGAAAGGCCAGTCTTGCCCCATCTCCTCTCCTTCCGGACACTGCTGCAGGGATTGTTTGTGCAGCTGGTTGTTTCGATTGCATCACCTGTCTCCTGGCCTCGCTCCCTCTTCTCCGCTGAGCCAAAACAAGCCGCTTCCTGGTGCTCGCTAGTCCTTTATAGGACCCGGACACTTGTCTTGCACCTGTCCCCTCTCATCCCTCCCACCCTGCGGAGAGCCAGGTGTGTCATGCAGCATCATGTATGACCTTGCACGTCTCTCTTTCTCTGGATGTTTTAGACCAAAGGTCTGGCTCTGTTTGCTGGAGCGTTGGGGCCAGATGCTCTGGACATGTTGAGTCCCTGCTCTGGACACGAGCTGAAGGCTGCTTCCAGCTCAACCAGCTATAATGGGAATCTGGGCACATAGGCAGGATGGTGAAGGCAGCCAGCTGTGATGTTAGCTGCATCACGCTGCCCCCCCCACACTTCGTTTGCCATAGAAAGGCTCATAACCATGCTGACTTGGTGGGCTATTTCGCTTGGGACCTATAACCCACAACACAGCTACTACAGGGTCAGCCCAGAGGTGGATCTAGAAGGGTGCAGTAGTGCAGCTGCACCCCTTCTTTGATTCCTGCTCTATGCAAACTGTAAAACCAGCTGTCTGGGAGAGGCAGTGGCATTTCTATTCAGGCAGCACTAAGGGAGTCAATTGATTTCATGGCTCATTATCATCTGCCTGGTTCCTGTTGCTCTCTCTTCACTCCTTAGGTGTTAAAGACCCTCACTCCTTGTTAATGGTCGTCATGTTCCCCTACTCAAATGATCCTTTCTTCTTCAGTGTTGCTGTCTGTTCTCCATTCCTGGGAATGTCTCTCCTCTATTCCACATCCCTGGAGGTTGTTTTTAACTCTAGCTAAAATCCTTAACTCAGGGGTCCAGCAGTACTAATGACTGTCAGTGAAGTATTGAAGGTGCTGTCAAGAAACTCAAGCAGGCTAGATTTTGTTGCACAATTTTGAATAAGAGACATATATTTAACTATAATGACTACAGGACTAGCAGAATGATCTCTTGACTTCTTAAATAATTTTTTTTGCCTAGCTTGTAGTTTTTTTAATTACTGTATAATTTAGCAATTAGTGGCTGTCCCGGTAGATTTAGATGAGTTTTTGCTTAATCTTAAACTTAATAATATAGCGCTGGGCCTCTGGCTTATTAGTAAAGCTTCTAGTTTCTATTTCCCTGGAGAAACATAGGTGGCGTGTTGTATGTGATGATGCACCACCCTATCTGCTCTCCCCGCTTTCGACATCCGCGCATGGGTCAGTCTCCCCGGGATTTTACTCTGTAGCTGGCTCGCTCTGTATTATGGACACCCGACCAGGCCTCTCCCAAGCTGTCCAGGGCAGGTGCTGTGTATTTGCATGAGAAAAGAGCTTCCCCAGAATGAACTTGATGAGGAGAGTGGACACATGACTGATCTTCCCCTGAAGTAAAGTTCCTGCCTGTTGCCCAGGCCTGACTCCCACCCCCTGCCCCAAGTTTCATATGATTTCCCCTGCAGCAGGGCTGGGCCCTGTGTGCCTCTGCATCTGCCGCCTATCACAGTCAGTCACCTCTGGTTTCCTACGTGTTACTGTGGTTTCCAATGTGTCGATGCTCCTATAGCAGACCAGAACCACCCCGTCAGCAAGTCGCTTTCCTTAGCCAGCTACTGCCCCAGATGAGCGGGCGCTTGTACGCGGGACGATGATAAGGACGAGGCTGTGATTGCCCCGGAGATTACCTGAGGCAGGGGTGGGCAATTATTTTGGGCGGAGGGCCACTTACTGAATTTTGGCAAGCCATCAAGGGCCACATGACAGGCAGCCAGGGGCAAATAAATATTAACTTTCTAAAAATGCCCCAGGCATTTTGCCACCCCGACCTAAGGGAATGACTCTTGCCACTTCCTCATCAGCTGCTTTTGCTTACCTTGCCCTGTCGCTGCAGGGTGGGAAGATAAGCTGTGGAAAGGCAGCTCTCTGAGGCCTGGGCTGCCCTTCCTGAGGCTTTCCGCATTGCAGATCTGAGACCCCTGCCACATCGTGACACTGTGCATCGTGCACGTCACACAACCGTGGAATAGCAGACCGCCCCAGGTCCAGCCCACCCCACAGTGTCTCTCCAGGGTCTTTTCCTACCTGCTCCAGGCTTTGCAAGCAGTTCTGGTCCAGTTTTGATTGGGAAATCCCTTGCTGTGGCAGAGAGCTGGAAAGGATCCCTCTCCAGCTCCCCGGCTACAGTGGCAATGGACCTTCGAATTCAGCCCTGGGTGTAGACGGGGGAAGTTTTAACTGCTCCAAAAGGTGTTAGCCTGCAGCTGTTCCCTCTGTCGGCACCTGGAGTGGTACAAGTGGGCTAAACCCTTGTATGCTTAACCCTGAAACAAGGTTCATTATGCACCGCTTTACCTACGCTTCCACCCAGACAGGAGCAGACAGAGGGAACAGCCGCGTTCAGCACTTAGCAATGTGCCACAACCACGCAGGGCATGGCCCTGACTAGCACAGGCGTTCAGCTTCCGGCTGGTACAAGTGACGCTCTGGGTCAGGGCTGCGAGTGCACAGAGCTCCCCACTCTTGGCCTAGGGCAGGGCTGTCGCACATACAGCCCCTGGGCCGGATCCAGCATGCAGAGCCGGGCCGTAGGGCCGCTGGAGAGGCTGGGAATCCAGGAGTGCAGCCTGCTACCGACTTCCCGGCTACAGAGCCCCACTGGGCTGCATTTTGGGGGCGGTGGGATGAGTGATGGATGCAGTAATCCCTGTAGTTTGCTGAGGTATCACAGTGGCTCAGGCAGCTGCAGGAGTTAACACTCCTGGCACTCGCCTCCCTGCCAGAGGTGGATCCAGATGTGGCCCATGAGAACCCCTGCAGTCTGGATCCAGACCAAGGGGCCAAATGAGTTTGATGCCCTGGGACTAGAGGATGACAAAGGAAGAGGGAGAGAGCCAGGAGGCGAGTCCTGCTGGGTGCTCCCACCCCAGCCACTGCTCACGAAGCAGCAACCGCTGCAGGTTTCATGTGCCAGGAGATGCTCTCTGCTAGAGCTAACCGAGCTCAGAGGCTTTCCTAGCACCATGGTAAGTCACCACATCCCCATCATGCTTTGCACGGGACGTCAAGGGTTCAGCCCGACTTTGCACCATCTCCAGCCGGACCCTCCTGTTTGGGGAAGCCCTTCTCCTTCCCGGCTGAAGCAGCCTGCATTGTGCATGCCTTGCACTTTCCAGCTTCCCCTTTTCACAACACTGGGAAGGGACCAGGAAGGGTGGGGTTTTTGGGCATCCTTTGCAGCCCTTCTGGGAGACGCCTTCTTGGCATGAATGAGCTGATGCTACAGGACAATGGGATGCAACCTGTTGGGCTCCATGGAGGGAGGGCTGAGCGCACCCTGTTTGAGAGCAGACCCCAGACGGGGCCACAGAGACGTTATGCAGCACCTCAGCTTTGACCTATCAACCCGCTGGGCCTTTCCAGACTCCTCATCATTAAGAAGTCACTGGACACGGATGTGCCAGCCAGGAGGTCTGCAGTGGCTATTCACCTGCCCCGATGGGAAACCAGGTGCCTGAAGAAACTCTGCCCCAGCTGCAGCCTGTTTTGGATCTTGGGCAAAGAGATGGAGCATCTATAGCTGGCGTTAAACAACTGGTTGGGGAAATGTCTAGTGCATCCAGGGATGCTGATGAGGTGGTGGCTCAGTGCCCGGCCTAGCCCTGTCCCGGGTCTCGGGCTGCCCTAGTGTTCACCCCATGAGCGAGGAAGTGATGGGGTGTCTGGAGGCAGACAGCTCCTATGACCCCCCCCCCGAGCTGTTGGCTAACTCTGGCTGTGCTTGCATCACAAAGCGTCTGCAATACCCAGTGCACGGGGATCGCAGCATGAAACGCAGGGTGTGGCTGGAGATGGGGGGGCCCCCGTGGGCATCCTCCTGCCAGAGGTGAGCCGCAAAGGGAGGGCTGCTATAAAAGCCTGGACGTTCCTGGGCAGAGCGGGAGAGCGAGGAGGAGACAGCAGAGGAAAGATCCACTCGCCCTGGTGACATCTGCCTGCGCCCAGTGGACACCAAGGGTGAGTCACGGGGTGGGGACAAGCTGGCATGGCAAGGAGGACCCCTGACGAGTGCTTCGCAGCAGCCAGATGTTGGGCCAGGCATTGGAAAGGCATGAGGGCAAGCTGTGCCCCCTGCAAAGTGGCAGGGAGTGCAGTGAGAGACTAAACATGGTACTCGCTGCCCGGGGGCACCCGAAATACCAAAGCAGAAACCGGGGGTCGATGCATCGGGGCGAGGGCAAGTCCGGGGACTCTGCAAGGCTCATCACTGATACTGCGAGGGGGCCAAAGGATTGCACTTCTCACACGCTGGGTGAACTGTGATCTTGTGGCCAATGCACATTGCATCAGTGATAAGGGGGCAAGATCTGCAGCTCGGCAGGGCGCGAGCAGGTTCGAGATTGCTCAGATAAGTCAGCGGCTTTCAAAGCAGCGAACTTCAGCCCGGCTGGCGTAATCTTGGAGCCGGAGGAGGCTGGGGGCAGAGGAGTTTCCAGTGGAAAGGAGAAAACAAGAGTGCCTGTCCTTAAGAAGGGGGGAGAGGGGCATCAGAGGCTTTACAACCACTCGGCCTCGCTGTGGTTCCTGGGAAGAGGCTGGGACACATCATCCAACCATCAATCTGCGACAAGCAACAGATGGGTGCATTAAGGACAAGGCCACATGGTTTCCTTTGGTGACGGGGGCAGCTGGGGAGAGAACAGGCAGTAGATGTGATGTACCTGGACCTGAGGAAGGCTTCTGGGATCAGGATTCAGAGGGGTCTGGGCAAGCTAGAGAAATGCTTTGAAATCCATAGGATGTGAGGCAGTAAGGATGAGGGCAGAGCACCATGGGGCTGGGTAGGCAGCAGCTCTGGCAGGAAGGCACCAGGGGTTATCACCAGTCAGGCTGAGCCTGTCACCAGCTTTGTGCCTCAGCAAAAGAAAGCTGGTGCCACCTGGGTTGTGTCAAGAAAGGTGGTGAAATCACCATCCATGGAGATTTTTAAGACCCAGGTTGACAAAGCCTTGGCTGGGATGCTGGGGCTGGGGCTGGTCCTGCTTGGAGCAGGGGGTTGCAGTAGATGTGATCTCCTGGGGTCCCTTCAACCCTCATCTTCTAGGATTTTATGTATTGCAGGGGAGAGTCGGGAAGGACCTCTGGCTTTGGGGCCTTGCTTCACTAAACCTGCTTTCTTGGGACTTGGATACTGTAGCTCCCACTGGGTTTCTGCCCCCCCATAGGGCGCTGCGAGTTTGCAGGGGTAGTTGTGGAACCACCGTGAGGCTCGGGCTCTCCTGTCCTTGCAGACGCAGGAGCTGCTGTCATCTGCCGGATGGGCTCTCGAGGCCCTGGGGCTGGCAATACCCCCTGGGGATCAGCCCCTACCAGCATTATACAAAGTCTTGGGGCTTCTCCAAGAAGGGTCTGGAGCGTGACTTGGTCTGGACACCCCTGCCCTGCCGGGCAGTCTTCATTCTGCGCTTGGCTCTTGCAAGGCCTCCCTGCTCGCCTGCGAGTAGCACTAGTGGGATGCTGCAGCCGTGACGGGCTGAGGATTACGCGGGGGGCGAGGGTTTTTTGGAGTGAGATTGCCTGTTGGACCGACTGCGCGGCCAGGATGGAGTGAGGCGAACTTTCAAGCGCAAAACATTTCTCTGGGTGGAGGAAGAAAGCAAGCCTCCCCTTGCTCGGGCCCTGGAGCGAGGCGGGAGGTGGGGAGGGGGTTATCTTAGATGGTGCTTTCTTACTTTTTCCCTTTTACAGCCTCTGGACTATCAGTAGATTGCTCCCTGGCCACCATCCAGCATCTCCTGCTGCGTCAGGTCTGACCTTAGCTGCCCCGATCCATGGAGCGGTGGCTGGGAAAAGCCCAGCCCTTTCCCCTACGCTCCCTGGGAGAGGATGGGACAAAAGCAGCCACCGGCTACAACCCCTTGCTGGGACCATCACATCCCAGGGGTACCTGCCTTTGTGTCTCCATCACGTTGCAACCCTCAAATGGGCCCAATAAGGTCCTTCTGTCATCAGGGAGCATCTTCCTGGAGCGTCTCTCCCTGCCCCTCTCTGCGGCGGTGGTGATGGGCATTTTCTGTCCTCAGTCCATCCTGTTAATGCTATGACTGCTTCCCCGGCTCTGACTCATGCTGGCCAGACAGCTCGGTGTCTGAGAGGCAGGCTGCAGGCTCTCTGCTCTCCCCGCTCCCTTTCCTCTTCCTCGACCCTTTGCCAGGCCTGCTACTGCTGCAACCCGTGTGCCAGAGCGTGCGCTTCCGTCCCGTGCCGGTGCTGCCTGGTGCTGCGATGCCCCGCCAGCCCACCTTCCTTTCTGGCATGGGACACGCCAGCCTCCTCCCCTGGATCTTCTCCACTCTTCCCAATTGCTTCCGCTGCTGCTCCTCTTCCTTCCCCTGCCTTTGTTCTGGGGGTTAAAGAGCCACCGTGCAAGCTGCTTCGGTCTCTCCTGGAGCAGTCGCTCCGCGCAGCTGGGTGTGTTAGCAGAGCAAGGGGCTGGGCACGGGCAGGGGAAGATCCTGGAAATGGAGGGGTTCAAGAGCAAAGGGAATCGGGCACCGTGTGGGCTGCGCTTGCTGGGCAAAACTGTGGGACCCACTGCTCCAACCTCAGCCCAGTAGCTGCTTGGAGTAGATGCGTTTTCCAAACGGGCAGGGCATTTCCCACGAGGCAGGTGGGAGCTGAGCCATGCTCCTCGCTTGACCGTAGCAGGGTCCAGCATCATGCTGCTCAACCCAAAGGACCCGGGAGGAGCAGACGTGGAGCTAGACCCATGGATCAAACTGATCAAACCCCTTCCCTCTGCAGAAGGCGCCAGGGGTGGGGGGAACCCAGCCATGGCCTTTCTTTATGCATGGGGCTGCCCACTTGGTATTGCTAAGGGCATGTCTTATGCCAGGCATGTGAGGCTGTAGCAGGGGGGTAACCACACCCTCCACGGTCGATCTAGGGGTCCCTTTTCATCCCAGTGATCCTCAACCGGGGTTTTGTCAGATCCTTTTAAGGGTGTAGCACAATACAAGCACAGTTTGGTGTGCAAACACCCGCACAGGATTCACGGGAGAAACCCAGAGATTTCCAGGAGGGAGCCAGAGGGCCCAAACCCTGCTGCAGGCCACCTGAGCTATTTGCCACAGAAGGACGGCACTAGTATTTTTCCTGCAGGAAAAAAAAGTCAAAACCTGCCCGTATGGTCCCGTTAAGGCTCTCCTAGTGCTGGGGTGCAGTCAGCCAAACTCCCCCAAAGCTTTGCTAGCTCCGTCCAGGGCCCAGCTGTACCCTGCGTCATGCTTTACCCACTCCGCTATTTTAACAAGTGTTTAGCAAGGACACCAAAAATCTGCGGGGCTTGCACTTTTATTTCTCCTTTTGACAAAGCCATGATGACTGGGGAATGGGCAGGATTGTAGTATCTCCTCCTTCCGTTTCTTGATGCAATCGAGTTCAGTCTCAGAGCACCGTGCGAGGGTGCACAGAGAGGCACGTCCATTCGTGGCACTGCACAACCGGTAATGTAGCTTCCCACCGCCGATGGCTTATATAGTCCTGTATAGCCAACTAACTTATGCTTTTATTCCTCAATGAGCTGATTCCTAATTAATCGCCAGTGGAGGGAGGCCTGGACTCAATCCCTGGCTTTTGGCTTCTTGGGTTTGGGTCTTCTTGAGCGCCCGTGTTTGCTTTGCGGGTGTTGGCTGTTATCGTTCAAGATTTGGAGACAATGCAGCAATGTTCGGCCCCCACTTCTCCAGGCAGGGGATCAGCCTCTGTGTTTTTCCTGGATCAGTGCCGCGGTGGCCCGACGCCTGTACGAGGCGTCCTTCATCTTCCTTATCTCCCACCAAGGTGCGGAGCAAAGAAAAAAGTCCACGGCATGGTGCTGGGCGCAGGGGGACTCCCCTTATAATCATTGGCCAGGGGCTGGGCAGGGAGCTGACCTTTGAGATGGGAAGCGGGCTCGCTTTGGGATCAGTGCTGCCGGCTGCCCCTGCACCCCCAGCTCTCTGCCTGCCTTTGGGTCGGCTGCATTCAAGGTAACTTCCTAGCTGCGATCTGGAGTCGGACGGAGGTGCCCATTCGGCTCGCTCTGCCCCTGCTGCCAGCTGCCCCCAGCGCCTGGCGGCTTTCAAGGGTGCTTAGCAAGACTCCACATGTGCGGGGAGCGGTGGGGTCGGGCGGGCTGATACAGCCGTGGGGGTCGGGGGATAATGTGAGAAGCAAGGCTGGCGTGGTGCTGGCTTTTCCCGGGTGGGTGGGAGAGGGGTTGGACAAGCCAGAGCATGGGGGGTGGCGTTTCAAGGAGAACCTTATCAGAGGGAGCCCGCCATATCCTGGATCCACGGAGCTCTGCCGAAGGGCGGGGAGCGGCTTCTAACAAAATAGGTGGCTGAGAAAAAGATTTGCAGCCGTGTAGGGCCCTGTGGGTGAGACGGGAGTACCCTGCATGGCTGGACAGCCCACCCACAGACAGGGGGAAGGACTGGATGGGGCAGAAGGAGCTGCCCCGAGCCCCCGGCTGGTATGGGGGGAAGGCTAAGTGATTGATTCCTCCCATGCACATGGGAGCCGAGACCTGGGAGGTGGCTAAACTGGTAGATGGGGTGAGGGCGACCCAGGAGAGCCCACTGCCCGCTCCGGCAGCCAAGGATAGGGGGCACGGGTGTCTGGCGGTGGCAGCTGCAGCAGGGCTGCATCCTGCCAGCAAAACCCTTCCCTGTTTCACCGCTTCACTGGGGCAAGTCCACCCGGGCCGGGCGTGCTGCTCTCTGCACATGGCCGGGGCCGGCCGTGCCCCTGGCTCAAGCCCAGCAGTATGTGGCCGAGATCCCTGGACCAGGCCTGCCTGGCTCGTGCCCTCAGCGAGCGCCCGATCCTGTGTCACTGGAGGGTGCCCACCGGGGATGCCCAGGGGTGGGAGCGAATGGTGCTGGATGCCACGGCCCTCTGGCCCGCGTGGGCTCTAACCATCCTTCCCTTGCTCTGTGGCAGGGAGATGGCAGCACGGTGGGTCCTGCTGGGGCTCCTGGCCGCCTGCGTCACTGAGGCCGCCAAGAAGGACATGCTGAACGTGTGCATGGATGCCAAGCACCACAAGACCAAACCAGGGCCGGAGGGGGAGCTGCACAACCAGGTAAGGGGGCTGTCATCGCCCACCCCGGGTGTCTTGGGCCATGGCAAATCCCAGGTCCCAGGGTCTGGCTCTGTGGACAGCTGTCACAGCCTTTGAGGACGGCCGTGCTGACGCATGGGGGAGAGTCCCGTGACAAACCGAGCACAACCCGGCTGCCATACAGGGCCCCTTCTGCCACCCGAGCAGGGGTCCGGCACTCCCTGCTTCCTTGTGGGGACAGACACCCAGAGCCCTGGCTTTGCTCCCGCTGGCTCAGCGATACCCCCGGGTGACGCTGGCCTTACAGAGGGATGCGGGCACTTGCCCCCGTTTAGGGGTCTGCCTTGCCCGTGGTTGGCAAATTAGCACCTGAAGAGGAAGGAAGTGCCAGCAGCATTTGGGGGAATGTAAGAACCGCGGTTGGGTCAGACCACAGGTCCATCTTTCCCGGTCCCTTTTGTCATGCGGATGCAAATGAGCAGAGGCCGGAAGGGGGTTTTCCCCTGCTCCTCTCCCTCTTGCAGCCTTCAGCATTGAAGGTCCGGGAAGCTCTGATGCAGAGGCCATGCCCCTCACCCCCTTGCTCAATAGCCACCGATGCCCCTTTCCTCCAAGCACGTGTCCGGACCCTGGATGAAATCAGGCTGAACTCGCAGCTTGCACCACATCTGGTGGCCATGCATTCCCCAATTTGAATGCCACGCTGGGGGAAACGAACTTCCTGCTGTTAAGTTTTAAACTGGCAGCCTGCTTGTTCATAAATGGTGTGACCCCCCTCATTCATAAATCCAGGCCTTTCTGCCTTTTGCATCCCCCTCCCCCCCCCAATCCTGCTTTGGTGCTCCCAGCTTGTCACTGCAGCCTTGTGGCTTCCCCCAGGGAGAAGAGCCACATTTGCCCCCATCCCCTGAGACACAGGTGCAATCATGCCCCCACCACTAGGGAGCACTGCTGCCATTGCCCCCCACAGCCATGCACCCACTGGGCCCTTTGCTCCCTTGGCAGTGCACCCCCTGGAAGGACAACGCCTGCTGCACGGCCAACACCAGCATGGAGGCTCACAAAGACCAGTCCTACCTGTACTCATTCAACTGGAACCACTGTGGGGGCATGAAGGACAAGTGCAAGCGCCACTTCATCCAGGACACCTGCTTCTACGAGTGCTCCCCCAACCTGGGGCCCTGGATCGTGCAGGTAGGAGGGTGGGGGGCAGCAGCCTGGGCCAGAGGAGCTGGGAGCGGGTGGGTCACGGGCTCGGCACGAGTCGACCAAGGGACGCAGCCGCCCAAACTAGCGTCAGGCTTTGAGGCTGCACCAGCAGGGCTGAGGGGTAGACATGGGCTGGGACAGTGCCGCTCTGCTCAGTGAGGCCTTGGCAAGATTGGGGGTGGCCAACCTGTGGCACAGGTGCCACACGTGATACAGGCAGGCTCTGTGCATGGCGTGCAGTGGATCGGGGAGGGGACAGGCAGCACAGTGGCTGATAGGGCAGGGAGCAGAAAGCAGAGCAGCAGATCAGACAGGGAACTGGTGTTGGGGGGTGAGGTCCCAAGCTTCTCCTGTTTCGGTTGCTTGCCCCCTGCCCCGCTGGGTGCCAAGCCACGGGGCTCTGGCTTCCCGGCAGCCCCCGGGCCTCCTCTGGAGGGGACGGGGCAGGGGAGGGGGACTGGGCAGCCCTGGGCTTGTGCCCCGAGGCTCACAGCCCCGCGCCCCCACAGACGGACACCAGCTGGCGCCGGGAGCGGATCATGGACGTGCCGCTGTGCAAGGAGGACTGCGACCAGTGGTGGAACGACTGCCAGGACTCCTTCACCTGCAAGGAGAACTGGCACAAGGGCTGGAACTGGACGACAGGTCAGCGAGCGCCCCGGGGACGGGACCAGACAAGCTGGCTGCAGGCAGGGCCGGCCCCACGGGAGGGATGGTGGGGGTCCGTGCTGAGGGCAGGGGTCAAGGCCGGTCTGGGGTCTAGCACCCACTACAGACAATGCTCTGGACCAAAGCATCCTCCTCCCTGCCTTCAGATTGGCCCCAAGATCCCTGCCATGATTCCCCATGTAATAGCAAGCAGGAGCCTGGCACACGGGCTGGGGCTGTTTCCTGGCTCTGCCACTGATGGCCCAGGTAGCCTTGGGCAAGTCACTCAGCCCTGACAGCTGGCAGGCTGTGAGAACACCCACACAGCACTAGCCCCGCAGTTAGGGGCCCGTGCGCAGTGGGGATTGGGAGGCTGGGAGAATCCGGTCCTAGGGAGAAGGAGGCATCACTTCCCCCAGCCAGACCAAAGGAAAGACCCAGGGGGGTCCATCCTGTGCCAGCTGCTGCCTGTCCCCTTCTGCCCCTCCAGGAAGCAACCAGTGCCCCCGGGGCTCCGAGTGCCGCCCCTTCAAGACGGTCTTCCCCCAGCCGGCCGACTTGTGCGAGAAGCTGTGGTCCAGATCCTACAAATACACGACAGAGAGCCAGGGCAGCGGGCGCTGCATGCAGATGTGGTTCAGTAACACCGAGGTCAACCCCAACGTGGCCGTTGCCGAGTACTACGCCCGGCTTGCCGGGGCTCCGATGCCGGGGCCTGGCGCCTGGCTGTTTCTGCTGGCCCCTGCCCTGCTAGCTTTGCTCTGAGGGCCAGATGCTGGCTCTTCCGGCCTGGGGGGAAGGCTGCAGGGGCGCTCGCTGGGCTCTGGCTCCCCCTCGTTTACGCTGGACCCATTTCTGCTCCTGACACCGGGACAAAAGAGGCTGCTGAGGTGACAGAGACGACCCCGGCTCCCCTTGACGCTTCGCTCCCTGCACCCATCTTCTCCCTGGCTGTGTGCAGCGAACACCTTCTCCATGGTGCCCAGGGGCAGAACTTTCCCCCCCACCCAGCGAGTCTGTCCTGGGTGTCTGTCTATCCAGGAGAGTCTGTGCAGTTGTCCACTCCAGTGCCTGGCTTGTCTGTGCCCTTCGCTACAGGGGAGCCCACAGCCCTGACCTGGCCCCCAAGCCCTTGACCCTCAGGACAGCAGCAAGACAGCCCCAGGTGCTCTCCGCACAGCCTGGGCAAACTGCGGCGGGAGAGGGGGGACATAGAGCCAGAAGCCAAACACTTCGAGGGGGCAACTAGGGGACCGTCATCCCCAACCAGGGGAGGGCTGGGAGCATGCAGTTACCAGGCACCTCGTCTTCCCTAGAGGCTTGGGCTGGGGGGTCTTCAGGTGAGCTCCGGGCATGTTGCCTCCCTCCTCTCCCATCAGCTTCCTTTGCAGCGAGGGGCGAGTCACTGCTGCAGGGCAATGCTTCCAGCACTTGTCCACAGCCCAGCTCCTGCACCGGCGGGCTGCAATATCCCTGGCCATTTGCACACAGGCTCAAGCTGCACCCCCAGCCAGTGCTGCCCTCAGGCCTGCCAGCTGCAGCTGGCACCAATGCTGCATGGGCATTTGGGGGTCATGCATGAGTGAGGGGACACATCTACTTCCCTGGTGCACGCGGACCTGGCAATAAACTCGATCAACTCTCCAGGCTCATCTTTTTGCTGCATAAGTATTTGGGGGTCATGCATGGGTGTGGGTGTCACATCCACTTCCTTGGTGCACGCAGAGCTGGCAGTAAACTTGATTGAAACCTCCGGGCTCGTCTCCTCCTTGATGCGCCGGCAGCTGCTGCATCTCTAGCAGTGCCAGGGAGCAGCCCTTGTCTTCCAGCCGGGGGCGGTGGCAGCACGACCCAGACATCTCTGGCTTCCCCTGGGCCTGCAGCTGCAAAGTGTGTCCTGTTGGCATGAGCCCATGCCCAGACCACACTGAGGTCCCCACGCCGACCCCATCCCTGCACAGAGAGCAATTGATGCACTCTGTGCATGAGCCCATGCTCCCAGCACAGCCAGCCACGAACACCCCATCAGGGACAGCCCCTGGTCCCCCAGTGTAGAGCCGGGCTCTGGGAGCAGATCTAGTTCCCAGCATGGGGCAATGCAGATCTCCAGGGGGATCCGGTGCCAGGCAGCAGCCTCCCCATTTCTATCCAGCGCAGTCAGGCTTCGGCCGCCAGCAGAAGGCACGCACAGCCCTTCCTGCACTTTCTGCCGGCTGCGGCAAAGCTGTGGAGACACCCCTTCCCTTCTGCTGCAAGAGAGAGAGGCGCGTGGCTGGGCCACGAGTGGGTCTGTGGCTGGCTGGCTGCCCCACTCCGAGGTACTGGGGTTCTTGCTTTGAAGCCTGGTCTTGCCCTGCTCAGGGCCAGGGGGGACTGGTAGCATGTCCCCTTTGCTCCACTCAGCCACCAGCTCCTCCCCACCCCAAAAGTGGCTGCCCCACAGCAGCGTGGGGGGCTGCTCCGTGCTCTCTGGTGGCCAGCAGGTGGCACCGTGTGGACACGCATCCCGCCAGGCACCCATTGCAACCGCCTGGATTGCATCAATTGCGACGGTTGCAGGCAGCCGACCCATGCAATAGGCTCCCGGACCGCCTGCAGAGTCAGCGGGAAGCATTGGGGCATGCATGTTTGCCAAGGAGCAGGGCTGTGCCACGGGATGGGCCGGGCACCTGTAGCACCAGGCGGTGCTACCTGTGGCTCTGCTGTCCCAGCTACCGAGAGGGTGGGGAGGGGAACGCGAGCCTGGCCCCTGGGGCAGCTCCAGCCTGCCAGGAGCAGGGCCTCTGTGCAGGGGGTGGAGTGAGCTGGGGCACTCTGCCCAGTCTGCAAATGCCCATGCCAGAAGCCGCCCACAGTAGGTGTGGCTGGAAACGCGCAGCACCCGCAGCCAAGGCCTGGCCTGGGGTCTCGCAGCAGAGGCCGAGCTGCAGCAGGAGGATTTCCCAGGGCATGCAGCCCCCCCCTCCCATGTCTCCTTTTCCTCCTGCCCTTCCTGGGCCTTTACCCTTGGAGCAGTAGGGCCCCCCGGGGGCCTCTGCGCCTGTTAGCCTGATGCTGATCCCGACGCAGGCCGGGACAGGTAAAGAACGGCCGGATGAGCCGTACCAGCCCACCGGGGCTCGATGGGAAGCAGCCAGGGCAGATCAACCCAATGCGGTGGTTTTCCGTGATGAACGCAGCTGGCACAGCTCAGCACGGCCACGAGGCACTTCCGGTGCCTGTGCTAGCCAAGTGGATTCACACTTGGTTCACTGACCGTCCCTTGGTTTTATCGAGGATCTGGCTGGCAGCAATTTGCAAATGACTCACAAGATGGGGCAGGAATCGGGTAGGCTTCCCAGGCCGGCCTGGTCCCAAAACCAAGGCTGAAGGTCCCGGCCACGGGATGGGTTTGGAAGCACCTTGGAGCCAGCCGCACACGGGCTCCTGGGGCGACGTGGCCGGGTGCCCGGGGCATGCAGGCAGGCCCCGCTGCTTCCTCTAAGGCCTCCAGCAGGACCGACTGCCCCCTGTGAGTCCCCCTAGCCCACCCCACCCTGCCCCACTTGGCTCGGGGAAGGAGGAAAGGCCGGAGGAAGCAGCAGCGAATGTGCTTCCTCTCCCTCGAGACCCGTGGTCGCCTTGCAGCTGCTCAGCTCTGTCTCAGCCGGGTCGAAAATAGCCTTTCCCCCCAACCTCCAGCGCCGGGGATTCGCCCCAATGCTCCCCGCAGCTGCAGCCTGTGAAATCCCACATGCCCCTTTCCCACAGGCCATGCCAGCTGCAGCACCCAGCACCAGCCCTGCTCAGGGGGGATGTGGTTGAAAGCATCACCTTGGCTTTGCAACCCAGCTCCCCGGCCGGCACCAGGTCCTTGGACCCCTTCCCCGGGGACCGCCAGGCCTGGAGCAGGGACCCTGGGGAGCTAACCAATGCCTGGCAATGCCTTTGTCTGGGAAAGGGGCATGCAGGCCTGGGGAGGCCTCGACCTGCTAGAGGTGATCCCCTACTGCCCCGGGGCCCCCGTGGCTCCCCCATGACACCAGCGCTGTCCCATGTCCGGCTGGGCCTGTTTGCGTGTGCTGGCTGGTGCGGCTGGCCCGAAGCTGCACCGCAGCTTTTCTTCTGAGCCAAGTGTCTTTTTTTTGGCTCAGGGCAGAAAGGATCCCAGGAAACCCCAAGTTGTGATGACTTTTCTGCTGTTGGGGGGAGAGAAAAAACCCAAACCAAATTCCAAAGCTTGGGGTTTGGGGGAGATGGAAAGCCGCCCCTCCAACAGAAACCGTCATCGGGTCCCCAGGCGTGGTTGGGGCTGGCAATGAGAGCCAAACTGGGGTGTGTGGAGGGGGGATTTGGGGGCTTGCAAGGAGTCAAACTGGGGTGCGCAGAGGGGGGATTTTGGGAGCTTGCAATGAGAGTCAAATTGGGTTGCACGGAGGGGAGATTTTGGGGTTTGGAAGGAACCAAACTAGGGTGCGTGGAGGGGGGGATTTGGGAGCTTGCAAGGAGCCAAACTGGGGTATGCGGAGGGGGGATTTGGGCGGTTTGCAAGGAGTCAAACGGGTGCATGGAGGGGGGGTTTGGGAGCTTGCAAGGAGCCAAACTGGGGTATGCGGAGGGGGGATTTGGGCGGTTTGCAAGGAGTCAAACGGGTGCATGGAGGGGGGGTTTGGGAGCTTGCAAGGAGCCAAACTGGGGTATGCGGAGGGGGGATTTGGGCGGTTTGCAAGGAGTCAAACGGGTGCATGGAGGGGGGGTTTGGGAGCTTGCAAGGAGCCAAACTGGGGTATGCGGAGGGGGGATTTGGGCGGTTTGCAAGGAGTCAAACGGGTGCATGGAGGGGGGGTTTGGGAGCTTGCAAGGAGCCAAACTGGGGTATGCGGAGGGGGGATTTGGGCGGTTTGCAAGGAGTCAAACGGGTGCATGGAGGGGGGGTTTGGGAGCTTGCAAGGAGCCAAACTGGGCTGCGTGGATGGGGGGTTTGGGGGCTTGTAAGGAACCAAACCGAGGTGCATGGAGGGGAGATTTGGGGGTTTGCAACAGGACAAGCGGGTGCGCGGAGGGGGATTTAGGGGGTTTACAAGGAGCCAAGCGGGTGCGCGGAGCGGGGTTTGGGGGCTTGCAGGGAGCCAGACTGGGGTGTGTGGAGGGGAGATTTGGGGGTTTGCAAGGAGCCAGCGCGGGTGCGCGGAGCGGGGTTTGGGGTCTCGCAAGGAGCCGGTGCGGCGGTGCGAGCGG